TAAATGGAGACAGAGAGAGAGACTCTACAAGGATATTTATTCCCCATAAAAAATGCCACAGTGAAGGAAACTCTCCATACCCCAAGAACTAACAGAGTTTCTCCAAGTGTCAAGTGAACTATTGAAAGATATTTAATATATATGTAGACCACATGGAGTACCAGTGTTCATTTACCAGTCATATTTTATATATGTAAGCAACCTTCTTGTGGGATTAGGTGCAACATTATTTTTGGGGCGATCTTTGACTCCCAACATCGATAAGATATCACTGGGATTTCTGTATAAATTTGTCAACTGCCAAAAGCAACGCTCAAGTAACACTTGAGCAGGCGAAAGTTAACTCTGGAAGTTAATTAATGATCCACTGATTAGATTAGAATATGCTTATTAAGTGCCAGGCGATAGCCAAACGAACGAACGAACGAATGGAAACCAAAGAATTCCCAGAAATGGCCCAATGGAAACTAACCAAATGAAGTGCACTTCTCGCCCTTATCCGCAAAGGTGATCTTTGGGTTAAATGAAATTAATTTTTGTGGCCAAAAGTTAGAGTACAAAAAAGGCAGAGTGATAAAGTGAAAGCACCTCAAGGAGTTTTCTGCTAAGGGGTAATAATTAGAAGATCAATTTATAGTGAAAGATCTCTGCAGCGGACGCCTTAATGATATCTCCATATAAGAGCATAGATTGAGGATTTAAATTCAGTGTATCAGTGAATCTTCAATCAAGACAACACACATATCCATCCATAGAGTTTGCCATGTTCCTTCTTTGGTTAAGAGCTGTCAAAAGCACTGGAAAATTGTCAAGCGATGACAAGCGTCTCTTCTGCCTGCATGTACATACATTTTCATTTAAGGTGATGTCTGTTGATGTCTTGTGGATGTCTGCACTGCGACACTTCCATGCCATGTGTTGCGGGAGACGGAGACGGAGACCGACCCCCCTTCGTGTCGTGCCGTGGCCCATGGCCCATGGCTGTTTCTTCCTCATTTTCATTATCTTAAGTACACATTTTGAAGTACAAACGTCAGTTGGCGATAAGAAACAGCAACGGGAATGGGAAATGGGGACGGTGACGGGTACGGGGACGAGTACGGGTGACGGCAAAGGTAGCAAACCCAAAGAAGACATCAAAAAGCAGTCAAGTCAACAGCAAACACAGAAACACAGGAACAGAACCGTGAAGGAACCACGCAATGGAATGCTCTAAATGCAATCTGTTTGCACAATTCCACAGAGAAACGAAAACCGAAAAACCATTCCACACGAGTACTATGTATGTATCCCAAGAATCAGAGGGAATTTTTTTTAGCATTTTAACGCTAAGTAAATCAGGCAAATGTCAAACATTTAATTAGGTGCACCGCAGCAGGGGGAAAACCCATGCCATACCCACACCATGCACTAAAGAAAATTAAAGAAAATAATGCACATTATATAGAGAGAAAGGAACAGAGATGGGAACTTCAGGTTAAATGAAACCTCCTGTAGAGTTGTTGCTGTTGCTGTTCGCTTCAGTTTCTGCATATGGTAAATACCATTATCAAATCATATTATCTTATTTATAAGCATTATCGTGCCACAGATACAGATTGCCTATCTATGGAATGGGCATGTAAAAAAAATCATATATACACAGATATCTTACTGGCGGCTTCGTTATTTCGTTGCTGTCTGCCAGTAAGTTTTGCACTTTCCATTTAAACACGTTCCGCGCCCGCCAGCCACCAGCCGCCAGTCGATCCGTCGAGTAATTACCCAAAATAATATAATTATAATGCATTATAATGCCCCAAAAACTCGACGTGAGAGAGTGGGAGATCGTAAAGTGACAAATCCAAAAGAATAACAAAATGGTTCTACGTTTCTGCGTTTCTGCGAGTATTGTAAAAAATAAAAATAGCCATAAAATGTCGGGCATGAAATCATCGCATGTTATGGCATGGACGGAACGGTACGGTACGGACTTAAAGTGTGTGTACCGAGTACAATATATGATAGTTATATTAAACCAACAAAGTGAGCAGAGGCTTACAGTGAACCTCTGACAGTGTGTGGCACAATTTGAAAGAGGAAAGAAAACCAAGTACGAGTACTCCTCAATGACAGCGATTTCGTCTGATATTTATGGGCAAAACCACATGAGTTGTCAGTGCATGAATAATTCTTGTAGAGCAGCTACGTCAGTGCCGTTGGCTATCCATCATTCATTCCATTCCACATTTGTTTTTTCTCCAAAAAGCAAAATGATAAGAGCGCAGAGCTACTGCTTTATAAGTGTGATTAAATTTATTTCTGGCTCTGGGACGCGTATTTTTAGACACATTATTTGAAAGCAAACAAAAGTTTATATAGTTGAAAATGGAGTCTCGCATTTTTAGACATTTTCAGTCATTTCTAAGTGGCATGGATTTTAGTCTGTTGCATAGTGAATACTTAAATTTAAATTTGTGTAGTCATTTCATCTAAGAAATCAAAGGATTCATTCCAATTTCGTTGCTACGACAAAGATTCTACTCTGCACAATAATTACATATGTCTGTGGTGTCCGTAGATATGTATGTACATCGTACGTACGATTCTTTTATGATTTTAGCCCAGTTTTTTTTCGCAATTAACCAACTTGTTTGCTTGCAGTAAATATCATGAAATTGGGTAATCAGCCTCAGGCAATGAATTTCATGATCTCCAAACAATGATTCATTTTAATGGCTAACGAAACTTGAATAAATGAGTAGGCAACTTTGACCTAAACCTCTGTAGATTTTGAGGCATATCCAAAAGTGACTTTTCCTGTCATTCTTCTCCAAAAACCATCGCCATTTTGAAATTAAGACTGCAGCTAAGCTCTGCCCACTTTTGTTCCATTTGCTATTTCTCTCCGAGGAAAATAAAACCCTGAATGACCTCCTGCTTCCCCCAACAACGGATCTTGACTAAGAAAGTCGGGAGGGAGGGACTACAGAGTATGATTGGAAATCAAAGCCCAAGACCATATCTTTCTATATCTTATCACGCTTATGCTTGTGTGCCTGATGCGATATCATGTAAGACAAGGCTATATATATGTATATGCCACGGGCATAATCATCCCATTATCTGGCCCAAAGCGTTTATAGGGAAACCCTGACCCAGCCAGTCCCCAAAAAAAAAAAAACAAAACAAATAAACGAACTTACAATCTCTCTTGCTTAGTGTTTGAGTGAAAGTTTTGCACAAGCGGCAGAATCTGTACAATGACCGATTAGAGCTCCAAAGGGAGAGAAACAGCTGAAAACTATTGAACGACGATGGCATGGTACTGGAGTGCCGAAAGGTTAAAATTTTGATGGGTATGGAACGAGGATTTCGTTCTAATCGGATGGGTTATCAATCAGAGTGGACGCGGATCGCGACGGAGTCCCATTTGGTGGCACTTGAACGAGTCCACGAGCCACCGCCGTCACCGACATGCGACACTTTGGTACAGTCACGTAGAACAGGCGCGTACACTCCCCCACTACCCACTACCCTCCGCCCACTACCTACCCCTCTCCACAGGCAGCAAACAACCCTGGCAATAAACAAAAAACTGTTTTGCCACATGAAATGACTTTCAGATTTCTGTTGTTTCTGTTGTTGTTGTTGTCGTTTTGTAACGCGTGACTCCCATAAAAAACCAAGTTTATTAAAAAAAAAATATGAAAAAATAGAGCAAAATAAAAGGGTGGAGGGTGCCTGATGATAGGGGGGATGGGTAACTCGCGAGAGAGTGACAGGGAGAGAGGGGAAGGGGACTTGGATGGGACCTCAGCAATGCGACGTTATCTTATCGCTGAAAATGTCGCTTTCGTAAATGGCGGCGCACAAAATAAAATAATACACAGACACACACACACACACAGGCATGCAGGCACATGTACATACCCCCACACACACACACATTCTATATAGCAGATATATATACACACATATAGAGATATGTATATACACCCTCTTACCATTATTACGTTTCTGTCGGTGGCACCACAATGGTTGCTACGGGATGGGGATTGGAATTGGAATTGGGATCGGAGGGTACCTGCGCCGCTTTTACAATATTTACACGTTTATAGATTCACATGAAAATTGTCAATAAATGGATAAAAATTCAATGAAATTATACCAAATTGTAAATGTTTTAATTCATAGCCCAACTGCAGGAAACAGGCAACAGGTGCAGCAAAAACAAACAATTAACTGAAGAGATAACTGAATATTGGAATAAAATCATCAAAAATCAGCTCCTGAGGGTAATGGAGTTATTCCAATTTACACTTAACCTAAAAATTGCAATGTGGCTTATTTTCGGCTTATTACATTTTTACATTATTGATTAATAATTATTATTATTAAATTGTTAAATAACTTAAAAATCTGATGTACATTTTACACGAATTCTACACCAATTTGTGTTTGGAAATCATGTAGAATACGTGTAAGATACATGTATCAGTCATGAATAAAATACATATGCGCAGTGGCCACTTTTGGAACTACTCAATCGGATTTGTGGCGCCTCCACAGGCAACGCGTGTGCGATAGCTCGCTGCTGTGAAACTCTAAATTACACATACGACACGGAGGCCAAAAACCTTTATATTTTGGGGAAATTAATAGACAATTGTCGTTTATTTGTTCAAAAAGTAATAAAATTAATATTGCAGAATGATGTAAAAATGTGTGTGTTACGAGACTAAAACTTAAATCGCTTTAAATATTTCTATATATATAGTGGCATAAAACATATATTTAAACTATTAACTAAATTGCATGAGATTGTTGGTTGTTTCGCTTGTTGGTGTTGTCATTATGTTCGCTGTGTGGCGCAACTAAAATTAAGATGTCTAATATCTAAGTGGATTTTGATTTTAGGAGAAATCTCAAAAGGTATTCATTCGAATTGATAACAAATAAGAAAAGTTAAATGGATGCCACGCACCAAAGAGCCCGCTTCACTCAGGCCTTTGGCTGGATCTGCATTCGATAATATAGCATTTTGCTAAGAATTAAACTAGATTTTTAAATAACGAAAAATTCGAGTAGTGCGCGATTCAGAGTCGCCTAATGGAAATGTCAATAAATTTGCTTAAATCTTATGTACAAAATAGAATGTGATAGTGGGAGAGAGAGAGAATAAAGGATAGAGAAGGGTTCTTGGAGAACTGCTCTTGGGTATACACGCTATAAATTCTTTGGAGCTATGAGATTTAACAACAGGATCTTTGGTCATGCTATAGTGCACCATTTTCAGCTTCATCGTCTACTCCATCTTCACCACAGTCTCCCGATCCACCCCGTACTTGCGCTCCAGCTCCTGCAGCTGGAGCTGCTTTGCGTGCATGGCATAGCTGGCCACAGCCACCTGCTGCTCGTGCAGCAGACTCTGCTGCAGATGGAGCTCTTGCTGTTGCCGCTGGAAGGCTGCCAGTTCGTAGTGCTCGTCCAGCGAGCCCGATCGGCTGAGCATAAGCTCTCCCTGATGATGATGATGCTGCTGCTGATTGTGGGAGTGGTGCTGGTCCTGATGATGCTGATGTTCCATCTGCTCCAGTTTGATGTGCTGCTCCTCCTCCGTCAGATAGTAGGGCGGGGAGGCACTTCGTCCTCCTGTCTTAGACAACGCCATCGCCTGCTGCCCAAGCCCCAGCTGTTGATAGGGATTTTGCAGACTGATAATGTTGCTGTTGCTGAGGCTCAGTGAGGATAATGTGCTCGATGCCGTGGTCGGTGTTGATGTGGCCGTGATTGTCGCTGTGGCTGTGGCTGACGATGTGACTTCTGGCTTGATCGTCGCTGCTGCTGCTGCTGCAAGCGCTGCCGCCGTAATGGAGTTCGGCATCAGGTGCGCCAACAGATGATGATCCGTGCTCCCGCTCCCGCTGTTGCTGTTGCTGCTGCTGTTGTTGTTGGTCCCGCTCAATTGTTGAGCTTGCAGATATTTCTGTATAATTTTCGTGTTATTCTCATTGCTACTATTGTTGTTGTTGTTGTTGTTGTTGTTGAACAATGTGCTGTTGTTGTTGTTATTATGGATATTGTGTTGGTGATGTTGGGTGGGCGATGGTGTATTGTAAATGGAGGCCGTGCTGGAGGTGGGAGTGCTGGGCGAATGCTGTTGCATACTGCAGGATTGCTGCTGCAGCTGTTGGGATGAATGTTGCTGCTGCTGCTGCTGCATGTTGATGGGTGACATTTGATATGGCGACGAGGGCGACATGTCCAGGCCAGAGCACAACTGATGCTGCTGCTGGTGCTGCTGTTGATGATGCGAATGTGATGTGGCTGAGGGGGATAATGAGGAGGAGGCCATGCTATGGGGCGAACTGGCAGCCGATGAATGCTGCTGCTGATCAGCAATGAGCTGCTGATGATGCTGCTGTTGCTGCTGCTGCTGCGATTGCTGCTGCTGCGATGTGGTTGTGGTGTATGGCATGTATGGTTTCATATCTAAGACAGAGCAGAGAGACAGACACACGAATTAGGCATGCACCCACAGAGCGAAGGATCATTTAAGAGACACTTACCTTCATTCACATCCAAGCCCATGCCCACATTGTGGGAGCCAGAGCCAGAGCCAGCAGAGCCTGCACCATTGCCTGCACCTGCCTCTAGATGGGCATTCAGAGCCATTTTCATTTTCTTTGACTTTTCACTCTTCGCTCCCTTGGGTTTACGCTTGCGTTTCTACGGAGAGACAAAGAATATATAATATAGAATATCTATTTTTGGGTTTCTCTCTCTTTTCTTCACTCACCTGAATGGTATCCTTTTTCATGGCCAAAGGACGTGTGACGCTATGCAGCTTAAAGTACAGCCCACAGGCATTGCACACAGGCTCTCCGGCAGGATTGCGGCGCCACAAAGACGTATAGGTGGTAAGGCAGTTGCTGCACGACAGACCAGCGCGCTTCGAGGCACTCTACATTGAGGGATAAAGCATTCATTAATTAGTAAAGTTTGAACATTTCCTTGGAGCCTTTCATGTGGAACAATATTTTCTATATATTTTCTGGGATTTCTACTCTACTCTTTCATTTTCTTTCGGTTTGTTAGTTGTGGGAGTTTCTTTGGGGGGGGGTTTGTTTGTTAATTAATGAGCGACCTACCAAGCGTCTCGAATTGGCGCGACTAACATGCTCTTCAATCGTCGTTGTTGCATTTACCGCTGGCGTCGAAGCTGTCGCTGCAGTTGCAACAGCAGTGGCTATGGCCGTGCCTGCGGCTGTTGGGGTGTTGGCCTTACTACGGCCACTGCCGCTGGCGTTCACATTAAATGGGTAGCTCTTATAGAAATCCCCGCCTGATTCAGCGGCCACTGTAATTATATTATCAGAAGATTTTTGATTGAGCAAAAAAGCAGTAGGCAAAAAGGCAAAACAGTAGTAGTAGAAGGAGTAGAAGAGTAGCAGAAATTTGTACGTTTTTTTTGTATCAACTTTTGTTTTTTGTTTTTGTTTTTTTTTTGTATATAAAACTAATAATAAATTCAATTAATTTTTGTACTCTCTTTGAGGTTCGTTTGGACAACAATGGTTTTCCGATGGGGGGGTTTTCGGAGGGGTTTTCGGTTCAGAGGCTGGCGGTTTTGGATTTCTATAAGTTTTTCCCATATTTCTTTACAATACAAATAAAATTTTGTTCCACACAAAAAAGCTTTTTTGGTTAGTAATAATTAGAGGGGATTGTTTTTCAAGAGAGAGAGAGAGAGATGAGGAGAGACATGAGAGAGACATTTACCAATCTTCTAGGCTGTTTTATTAGTGGTCGATTCATGCCGTTCATTTTCATGTACAAGCCGCAGGCGTTGCACAGATAGTGTCCCGTGTTATCGCGTCGCCACAGCGGTGTCTGGATCGCACCACAATTGACGCACTCTCGCCCCTCAGTGAAATAATCGGCATCGAAAAATGCTTCAAAAAGATGCGAAACGTTTTACATGGAAAAAGTCATACAAATTATCATCAAAATTTTGTTTGTTGTTTTTTTTTGTTGGGAGTTGTTTTTGTGTGTGTTGTCTTTTCTTTTTTTGCTTTTTGTGGTGGTGTTTTCTGTTTTCTTGTGGTTTGGATTTTTTTTTTTGTTTTTTTGTAAGCTCAAGAGTGGATGTAAAATTAATTGAATTTATTATAGAGACGTAAGACTTAAAGATAGATCTATGGTAGCGAGAGTTTCGGGTTCGAAAAAGTGTGTGTGTGTTTGTTTGTTTGTTTGCATAGGAAACCAGCAGTTGGCAGCAGCAGTTTCAGCAGTTGCAGTTGCAGTTGCATTTCCTTCGTTGCAGTTTCAGACGTTTGCTCAGGTTCCGTAAATATCCATCGTGCCAAGTCCTGCGGGTGCGAACTTCTACCTAATGAAAGGCCTCCTTCTTCCTCCTTGTGGCAAGGAAAACAACGAAAACTCACTCTCCTCTCTGGCTGTGTATTCTATATCCTATATTCTATATCCTCAAAGAGGCAAAAACTTACTTGCTGACAGCGATGCCGATGCTGTTAGATAGGATCCTGGATCCACTCGTCCTGCGGCGCCTTCTACCGCTGCTGCTGTTGCTACATTTGCCGCATAGATCTCCCTGCCGTTTCGTATCACATTCGTGACCACTCCGGCCCCACCAAGGCCGCCTACAAGCTGCGTCTGGACACCGGATGCGGTGGCTGCTGCGTAACTGATTGGCTCGTAATGGGCGGGTGCCCAGGCATCGCTCTGAAGGGGAGAGAGCAGAGTGTTAGGAGGGGAATCAATCAGCAGGGAATCCCTGAGGGCAACACTCACCTGAGTGCGATAATTGGCCAGCGATGCGTAGCCAGCGGACCGTTCGGCTCCACTGACCACCGAGGAGCCATTGGCCACGCCGCTGCCATAGCCGCTGCTCGCCGATGCAATACGCTGGAAGGCAGGCAATGTGCCACCGCCGCTTCCACCTCCTCCGCCGCCGCTGTGGCTGCTCTTTGGCGAGCCATAGCCATCGTCCAGGAGTCCACTGCCATTGACAGTCGTTCCAGTGGCCAGACCCACGGGTCCCGGACTGCTGCTGCTGGAATTGTGATGCTGATGGAGCTGTTGCTGCTGCTGTTGCTGGTGGGGATTGTGCTGCTGGTGGGCATGTTGTTGCTGCTGATGGGGATGCTGCTGTTGCTGCTGGAGTTGCGCATGGGCTTGGCTGGGCGACTGCATGCCGTACTGCATCCCATTTGCGGCTTGGGTAAGCAGGGGCCCAGCATACACGGAACTGCAAGGAAAAAAGGATCCATTTTAGTATATTTATTGCTTTAAAATATCTTTAGTTTAGGATTAAAAACCATATTTTCAAGGAGGTTACCTATAGCAATAGTTCTTCAAATACATATTATTGTAATTCGAGAAAAACATTTTGTTGGGTTGTTATGGAATTTTCACACTTTTGGGCGATTTTTAGGAATTTATTTTTTTCAGGCGTTTAAAACAGCTGGAAAGACACACATTGGCATACGTTTAAAATCGCTTGGTACACGTTTTCGCGCGTTTTTAACCGCGCCGCTGTTGACGGATCTGTTTTGGTGGCTGTTACTGTTACTGCCCCTGTTATTGTTTACTGTTACTGCTTATGCTTCTGTTACTGTTACTACAGCTCTCTCTTTTTCTCTCTGCTTTTGCTCCCTCCTTCTCTTTCTGTCTTTCAGTTAGGGCCAAAAGGAATGAATAACATTTCCTGATTTTTGTTTATTTTACAAGATTGTTGTTGGAGTTTTATGCTGCTGCGGGACCACCAAAGCGGATCACATTTTGCAGTGTACCGTGTGTGTGTGTTTGTGTGTCTGTTTGGGTGCATATTTCGGTGTGTGCATGTATGTGTCCATAAAACTTTAAATTAAAAAATAAAAGAGCTTGCAACTCTGTTTACAAACCGACCGAAAATCTCTTTCCCTTAGGATCGTCCTCTCTTTCTCCTAATTTCACTCTGCCGTTTCTCTCTTTCTCAAACAGTAGCCTGTACAAATATTTATCCCCCCAAAGACCCCAAGGAAGAAACCAAAAGTGCAGCGTATTCAAAGGTCGCTCTGACGCAAAGATCTCGCTCTTTTTGGAGGATTTTGAATCAGAAAAAAATATGCAGGATTAATTGAAAATTTACTAGATGTTTCTAGAAGTAGGATCTATAGCTTTAACAAATTAAATCATTCTCGTCACCGAATAGATTTCTTCCTCCTTAGATTAGTTATTAAGCAGACACTAAACAAGATGTTCTTCCACTTGAAAAGATTTCCTTCTTTAATATGGATGTAGAATGGATCTACAACTAAAATATATATCCTTAAAGGATGGAAACACATTCACACTCCATTAAACGGACACTTAATCACGATCCATTTTTCTCTACAGTTCTCTAAAGTCTTGTACAACCCTTTTTGTTTTGTTTGTTTTGGAAATACAATTATTATTTGACTTGGCAACAGGCGCAGGTAAAACTCGAAGATATTTTTCTTCCACTAAATTGAAGTTTCATTTTGATTTATTTTTATTATTTTTTAATTGGGAATCAGTTTTTGCCAGTAGACGAGGAGATCGATCCCGAAGCTGAAGCTGAGACTGCAGCTGGGAGACGAGAACGAGACCGAAAGCACAACCGAAACGGGGCACGCGCGTTTGCATAATGACTTGACGTCGGGTTTTAGATTTTATGCCAGTGGAAGTTGCAGTTGCAATTGCAGTTGCAGTCACCGCTGCTGCTGCTGCTGCTTTTGGCTGAGACGGAGACGCAGACAGAGAGTTTAAGCCACAAAATAAGCGATAAAATTGTGTGAAAAACTTGTACAAAATACAAATTGGAAATAAGCCACATGAAAATCTATGTACAGTGATCGCTCGGATAGCGAAAGCTGCAGGAAGAGAACACAGAGACATAACACACATTTTGTTTGATTTTTATGGTATTTAAAACATTTTAGATACGTTTAAAAAAGCTGGTACCAAAGCTGTATATTTGAGCAAATATTGGGGTAGGTACAGCATTTGGGGGATTGTTTGGGAATGGATTAAGGATGAATTGTGGATTCTAAAGGTATCGAAATTCTAAGCCAAAAAGGTTCTTCATTCTTAGCAACCACTCTAGCATTTTATTATCTACCAAAACGGTAGAACTATAGCTATTCTTTAACATAAAACAAAAGTCTTGCCAAAGTCTTTCCAAAGTCTTTCCAAAGTCTTCAAGCACGCTCTCCGATAACACAGTCATTCCCAACAACAAATCCAATTTTTAGCTTTCAGAGATGCTTTATCGTTATCTCTAGCTATAGGTACTCGCACCGTACCTACACTCTTCTATATAGAGAATGGCATACAAAATATATAGGAAGTCGTCTGAATGACAACAAAAAATGCACGACTACGATATAATTTATCATCGCTTCAGTTTTCTGTCGGTTCTGTCGGTTCGCTGCTGCTGTTTGTTGCAGGTGAGTATTTTCTGCATTCAATTCGACTTCTTGTTTTTCCACAACTCGTACTCATACTCGTATGTGAGCTCTCGACGAATGTCGGGCGTTGTGATATCTTCTTCTGGTTTTCTGGTTTTGTCGCACTGCCGCCACAAAATGAATAAAAAGTCACATACAAAATGTTCCGAGCATCGTCATCGCTTTAACCAAACCAAAAGAGTTCTCTGAAGATCTCTCAAGAGTCAAATAGAAGCAACGAGTTCTACTGTTCCTTTAACCATAATTCGATATACCTTCTGTGATATTTTGCCGATCTATGAGAACTATAATTTGATACCTCTCAAACAGTAGATGTCTTTCAATCTTAACGATCTCTCCCCTTCCCAATTCTCTGATCTTTGGCGCTGTTTTGGGGCCCGTATATCTTGTTGCGAATCTCAATTATAAGTATTCGAAGCTCAACCTTTCGAAAGATCAAAATAAACAATGGCAGAACATAAATAGAGGTTCGCACTTGCACAAATGTTATGAAGCGACGCGTCGTGGGCTCCCTTCCGCTCCCTTCTGTCTGTCTGTTTGCTCCTCCTGTCGTTGTCGCTGAGTTTTGAGGCTCAGCGAAAAAAAAATAATCCGAATTGCCGCTCAAATTTCGTAAACAAGAAAATATGCAATGTCTCCAATTATTGACGTAAGGGACGCACTGACTCGGACGCGGACTCTGACTTTCTGACTCATGAGTTTTTTCGTGGCCCGGCCCAAACAGATGTTCGCGCCTAACCAAATGCTTGACTAACTTTTGGCCTAAACATGGGGGGTTACCAGCAGCATTTGTGGCCAAGACTCGTCACACCACACACGTGTCCAAAAAAAGTCAGGCACGTGCCGCACTAAAAAAAAAAATATAAAACAAAAAGGGGGGCGTGACCCGCATTTGATCGGCAGTTCCAAAATGCAATTGTAGCGCATTTTTCTAGCTTGTTTGTTGGATCGCGTCGGGGTATTCCAATTGCAAAGCTCTCTATTTGAGGAGGATACCTGGTGGTGTTGTCTCTGTATTTCTCGGGGGTAATCCAAAGCCATCCCGTGACATAGAAACCGTCACCCGAAACTCAAAACCAAACTCTAAAAACAGCTTCAAAGCTGCTGCTGAGTCAGCCTAAAAAACCCCTCCACAATACCCCTAAAAAGGAGGAGCACTGGGGGGTGCTCTAACGATCCGAATCCAAAGGGTGGGATCCCAACCCGCACAATGAATAACCGCACGGCCGCCCGCCCGTCCGTCTGTAGTCATTCCATTGATCTCGTTTCATTTTTTTCTTTTGGCTCTTATTTTTCTTGTTCGCTTTTCCCTCTGTTTTTGAGTTGTTTTTCTCTCCTCTATTTTTGCCACATTTTGCACTTCATTTAGGATCGTTTTGTTTTGTGGTTATTATTTTAAATTGGAAACGTGTTTTGCATATAGGAAAATATAGGCAAAGCATGAATACAGTCTGTAAGTGAGGAATTTCTGTTCGGTAAATGATTGGAAACTTATGAAAATTTGTGAGAGCAAATATTTTGTTCCTGTTCTAATATACTGTTATTTTGGTAGTGGTATATAGTTCCTCAATATTTTTACAATCTACGAATATAATTCTGCAACCCTTAACACACATTTCCTGCCACACCCACAAGACACCCATACAAACTCTTGAGGCTAGCCTAGCACATTTTTCATATGACATCTGTGATGGCGACAAAATCGCAACTGTTTTTATGGATGTTTTTTCATTTGAATGCAGAAAACACACAGCAAACATTCCTCCAGACATGAAACACAAAATAGATGGAACCAGATTTTTATAAGCATTCCATTGGGGGAATAAACCACCTGAGAATGCCACATCCACATACCCCCATACCCGAACAGAAATGTGTGTGTGGAGGAGGGATCGATCGATCCCACACTTTTTGAGAGCAAAGTCTAAAACCTGGAACAATGAGCCACAATTATGACTAAAGTAATACACCTATAACCCATTGGAGAACTGGAGAACCCTAACACAGAACAGCGAACTGAGGAAAAATCATAGTCACAGCCGCGACTGTCGGGAGGGGGGGTGGGGGAAATATGAATCAACGAATGCGCTTCTCTGATCATGACTTTTGGCGGTGTCGCTCGAAGCTCGAAGCTCGGCTAAGGCACGTGCGATATGGATCGTGATAATGAGCTCATACTCTCGTTCGAGTAGCACGCGGGACGGTCGGTGCAACACACAGACACTCACCTGGTTGTCTGCAGGCTGGGACTGAAGTATCCCCCTTGCTGTTCCGGCGAGAGGCTGTCCCTGTGGCCGGAGCTCGTCAGCTGCGTGAAGCTCTGGAGCGTGGAAAATGCATGCGAGGAGGACGAAGGGGAATCCCCGCCTGCCGAACTGGCGGAATTGTTGTGATGGTGGTGCTGTTGTTGGTGTTGCTGCTGCTGCTGGAGGTGTTGCTGCTGCTGCTGCTGCTGCTGTTGTTGGTGGTGATACAATTGTTGTTGCAACTGTTGCTGCTGCTGTTGCTGGTGAGACAGCGAGTAAATGGTGGGACTGGGATCTTTCAAGGAATGCAAATCTGAGACGGAGGTCAGCATGTGATAGCTGGTGCTATGCCCATCATCGAAGCACTCATCCTTCAGTGTGTCCTGGATGACCTCGTCAATGTTGGGCGTATTCTGTGCATTTGCTGCCGCTGCGGCGGCTGCCACCACATGATCGTGTGGGATCATTCCTCCTGCTCCTGCCGTTCCTCCTCCTCCTCCACCACCATAAACGCTGTACAGCGCAAAGTTATTCCTCATTATGGATGGATCCGTGCTGGCGCCGGTGATGCTCTGGTAGTGTTCGTACAGCTGGGCGGGCGGATGCGGTGGCGGATAGCTCAGGTGGCTAAAGAAATGATGATGCGAGGCCGCCAAGGTATACAAATCTGGGGGCTTCTGATCCACTGCTTGGACTGCTTGCACGGCTGCTGCTGCTGCTGCGGCCGCTGCTGCTGATCCGCTCGTCAAATCGTAAGCCAACCAATGTTCCTGCTGCTGTTGCTGCAGTTGCTCCTGGTGCTGTTGCTCCTGAATTAATTGCTGACTGAGAAATTGTTGCTGGTGTTGCTGTTGCTGCTGATGCTCGTAGATTTGTTGCTGCTGCTGCTGATGCGCATAGTTTATTACTTTGATCTTATTATCGACACTTTCACTCGCGTTGCTCTCTTGAGTACCGTTGTCTATCGCCGCTGCCACACGATTAGGATCTCTCTCGATCTCTGCTGTAATTGTTGTGGCTGCTGCTGCCTCTGTAGATTCTACTGTTACAACTGCAGTATTCGCTGTGACTGTCGCCGTGTCGCTGGTGGTAACCGTTTCGTTTGTGAGTTTCGCTGCAACTGAAGTGTGAGCCTGCAAACGCGCGGACTCAAATGACGATAAATTTGTGGCCGACGTCGGCGTCGTCGCTGCCTCATTGTCGACGGCGGCCACCGTGTCCGTCTCTGTCTCGACCGCACTCGTAGGCTCAGCAGCTGCTATAGTCGTCTCTCTCACTTCTGCTGTTGCTGCTGTTGCTGCTACGACTGCAGTTGTTGTTGTTGTTGCTGCATTTGATCCTGTTGCTGTTGTCTCTTTTGTTTCTTTTGTAGCTTCTTTTATTGTTGCTGCTGCTGCTGCACGTCCTTGCTTGTTCTGCTGCTGTGTCTTGGCATTGGCCCGGGCTGTAGTGATCTTCATTTTAACCGCGTTTTCCAGCAAATTGGTGGAAGCACGCGCCGGCGCTGGCGGCGCCTTCTCCTTGTCCTTGGGCTTCGTGGTCTTGGTCATCGTACATGTACTCCCCTCTCTCTGGCCCCCACACACAAATAAGACGCGCGCGTCCAGAGTCCCGTCTCCCACTAATCAATCGATCAGCGCACTGATCCGGCGTACGTGTCCGTGTCCGGCGAGTTTTTCAAACAAACTGGGGCCACTGGGGCTCTTGGGACTCGACCGCTGGCGAGCGCTTAAAAATTTCAAAAACACGGACACAAATAAAACCTCGGGTAAAAACCATAAAAAAAATTGTTTTTAGATTCCTCCACACACTACATGAGATGAGATGAGAGGAGAGAGAGCGAGCTTAAGTTCTCCTCTCCCTGGCACCACTTCCATTCATCCACACTCACATAACTACACTTTTGTTGGTTCTGCGCTTTGCTCCACTTGCCGTTATACGAGTCACAATCATCATCATCATCATTTACAGCTTCAAACGGCTGTCAAAGCGAGCGAGAGAGAGAGAGAACAAAAGCTTACGCTCTTTTTGCCTCGCTGCCTTTTAAGCGCTCTCTTCCTTTTGCTGTTGTTGTTCTGCGACTGCGTTCGTGGACCTGTTGCTTGCTTTGCCAGTTTTTAGCTACGCCTCTTAATATAATTACAACAGCAACAACAACCAGCAGGCAGCTGGGGCTCATTTGTAGTTGTTGCTTTTGCTTTTATTGCTTCCATTGTGGTTGGCTGTTGCCAGCGGGCACAATACCATTGCATATGTACATACGAATGTACATGTGTATGTACATATTTATAGTATGTAAAACAAGCAACAATTTAACCAAATAGTAACAATGACTACAGTTAATAATTCGATCTACAACTTTGATTAAAATAAAGATTTTCACTGCCACTGTATGCGACGGGATTTATGTATGCATTACCGATTGAGGAATGATTTTATCAACCCGATCTGTGCGTAGCGTTCCCATAGGTACCTCCCCTTAAATCGTATTTCTAAATGTTTTAAAAGTAATTTTAAAATTTAGTCGCACTTCATTAACCAAAATAAATCGATCCCCATTATAGTCCGACTCTCCTTTCGTTGTGGCCAATAACCTCTCTATTTCTTCATGGTAACTTTTAAAAATCCTACGTAAATTTTTCCATAAATCAGCTCGAGTTAGAACACACAAAATGTTCTCTAAAATTTCATTTAAACAGGCGTATAGTATAGGAAGGGGAGCCCAGAAAACACTTTCATGCCTATCACGAGGACGTGCACATTAAATTTTCATAGGAGACGCGTGTAGAATTTCAGAATCAGGGCAAAGGACATACTCCGGAGTCGCAGGGTCGGAGGGACAAGTGATCGCCTGGAGCCAGAGACCGACCCGACGGAGGGGCGCCGTGAGAAAAATCCAAGTGGAAAGTCTTTCCCGTAGGAGGCTCCGTGTTTCTTTTGCAAATTCCCCAGACGCCGCGCCAAAATAATATTCAAAAACGATCGTAAAAATATTCGTCTCTGTACTTGAAATCCGTTCTAATGGTTGATTAAAAAATTGTTATATTTGAACCAGGACGAAGAGTCGTAAAACGGCGAGGATCGCTCTGATATTTTTATGGCATTTTTATCGTCATTTTAATAGGCGGCACCAACGATCTGTTTGGACATTTTGAGAACACTTTTACGATCCGATGGATCGATGGGATGGGATGGTCAATTGGATTGGGAAAAGTAGGCGGCGAGACTCAAGTGGGTCGCCACCGACTCCGGCTCCGTCGTCCGCTCGTCGCGCTTCGTTGAGGTTCAATACGGATCGGTTCCGTTCGTTCCAAAAACAAATCTAAATTCGAATTTAAATTCTACATACTCGTCGAGTACATAGACATGGCTTGTTGTTAACCTTTGTGGCCATTAAAAAATTATATTTAATATGAAAAAACGAAGGAAAAAACACTGATAACGTGCTTCAGCCTGGCTGTGGATTGGGATGGATGGGGGACCTGTCTAAGTCCGTACCGGACCTTTCCCTAGTCCCGTGGACACATGATGTCGGTCTCCTCGCCGATCTCCCCCTCCACTTGCTTTATATGTATGTAATTAATATATTTTGTATTCACTGCTATATATTTTATGTATGTGTTTTGGTTGCCACAGCCACAACACTCTCGCTCATTAACAAAAGTTTTCAATTTTTATTCAACGCAACAAAAACAATTGAAATATTTAGACATTTTCAATACGGCTGCTCGTGGGTTGCATGTGTCAGTGATTTATATGGACCTTTAACCTTGAATTTATTAAATAACTCAGCTTGAAAAACTTGCAGTGTAGACGTCACCCGGCGGCGCCTGGAGCAGGGCTTTTTGGTATATAACACGCCATTCGAGCATGTAGGGAGGCTAAAAGTGTTTTTAAATATATTTCTAGGATGAAAAATGTGTAGAAATCGAAAAACAAAAGCTTCAAGGAGCAATAAGAGCTGCAGCTTCGTTCTATGTATTATATCCTATTCCTTCTTCTGTTTCGGTATGTTCTTCGACAGTAAACTTTCTCACACTTGACTTGTGATTCCACCTACATATTCGTAGCTACCGTTCCACAGTCCACCCACTGGGAACGCGACAAATGTTATGCTTAGTTAAGTCCGATGATAAGTTTTCGGTTCTACTACTATAAACGAAATGCATTGAGCACAAATGCAAATAACGGTAGACGACCTCAAAAGCCACTCCCCCAACTGTCAGAGAGGAATAGCCGTGCTGGGGCAAGTGCGACTCTGCCATGTGAGGCAGGGCTGAGTGCCCCCTTGCCCCTGTGTGTGTGTGTGTGTGTGTGTGGCACAGAACTGTGTGGTGTGCGAGGAGTGCGACTGTGGAACAGGGCATTGAGTGTCAACAAACATGAAGAGATCTCTTGTGGAACCAATAAATCATCCAGCGAGCCGTGGCACTGCCTATATGCTAATGATCTGATTTATTACAATCCTGAGAAAAAGGATAATCTTTGTGGGTCTTGCGGGTGCGGGTGCGGGTGCGGGTGGTGCCCTGTTTCACACTCGAACTCCAAGTGTAATGGGCCGTGGCGACGATATTCCAAAACTCCAATGTGGAACATATCGAATGGCCCAATGTTTATGGCGAAAAGCAATATACATGTGTAATTAGTTTTATACACAAATGAAAACCACCGAGGGCCAATTTGGAGAGCACATACCAAGCACATACCAATGGTATTTGTATATCCCACGAGACCTACGAAAACACGAAGATTTCTTTTGGTTTGCTCTGGAATTATTTTGACATATTTATGGCTGGCACCAAAAAAATGGGTTGCTCTTGCAACAAGTGTGGAGAGTGTGGACTGTGTGGCAAAGTGTCTCATGTATCATAGGAACGATCATACATAGTTTCAGTTCCAGTGCTGATGTATTTATGCATTTTTAATATTTTCGTGTACATCTCCTCCGCCCATATTACACTCTTGGTAATCCAATACGCCACGGCATCATCTTCTCTTTCGTAGTGCTCTCCTTGCTCTGCCTATCTTTCGGATACAAGTCGTTTGACTCCTTAAGCGCCAATTATCAGCATCGTTATGTGGTAGGAATATTCAAATAAAATGCCATCAAAGAAAGAAACGGCATCTGATTCAAGTGGTGCTCAATTGAGTTCTTCCACTCGTATCAAAAACCCCATTTAACGACCTCGGAGTACATGTCTTTAACACCCTTTTAGGGCTACGATAACCGAAGGCACTTGCTGCCCCAAGAGTTGTTATCTGTGGGGTGCCTCAATAGATCCGAAAAGGGTAAAGATTGGAAGGGAAATATACATAGAGCGGTGTTTTGGATATTACTAAAGGGTTCCACTTGCAATCGATTGAGTTTAAAGAAAACCTCAACTGAAAGTTATGGAAACTTTACACATCTCGAGCATAAAGATCTCTCCACATGTCCACCATAATATCAGAAATTCTCAATATTATGCATAGAAAATGGAAAGAAAAAAAACATTCCCAGCTAATTTGTAGAGTCAACATTTTTACTTGCTTGAGGATTTGATGCAATATTCCCTAAGTGACTCTTAGATCTCTGATCTCTAGATCCTGTTTCCTCAACGTAACACATTTACTGCACATGAAGAACTTTTCCCACAGCCAAACAAACAATAAACAACAAACAAAACATTACGAATTGAACCTATTTAAATAGAGTTTTATATTGGGAAAAGAAAACTGTCAAGAAGCCACGATTAAGCCGCTCAGATCAGTGCTAATCGGGCAACAGTCCACAAACCAAAGCCACAGCAACAGCCGCAGACGGCTGCCATTTGCCACAAGCAGCGGGGAGAGGAGAGAAGAGAGGTACGGTACGATCCACAGGTAGAACTCATCCCATCACCCCATCAGGTAAGCACGGCCACAATTTGTGGCAAAGGTAAACACAAACAAAATGGAAACACGCGCCGACACGATACAAATTGATCATGACAAAAAGGACACGAAAAGGGACAGCAAAAACCTTTGCTCTCTCTCTCTCTCTGAGGGTCCTGTCTGTAAGCAAACAAACAACATCTCATGTCTCCTTATGAATATTGTTTTCGCTGACAATATTTTCTATTTTCTCTTCTCCCTTTGTTGGGTTATATAATTTTTGTTTTTACTTTTTCAGTGTCCTGTGGCACGTACCTGGCGCTGTCGCTGGCGCTTTCTAATTAGGCCGTCAGCACTTAGGAATATGTATATATTTTTGTAGGAGACCAATGTTTGTTTGATGATTTTTTAATGGCCCGAAAAGCTAATTGACTT